TGGGGTGACCACCAAAAACGGACCCCCCAATTTCTGGAACCGCCTATATAACTTAGGCCCGCATGGGTTGATGTATATCTGCATATATATATATACATATAGATACGTGTTAGGGTTTAGGGTTTAGGGTAAATTGCTTCAGAAAAGCTTCGTAGGCTTGATTACACAGGATGCTGTTCACAAGTGCAACTCTTAAATCAGGCCCTAGAAGTACCCGTACAGTTTGCAAGAAGCCTCTATTAGGTTCCGTGTCCATCTGGGGGAGGGTTTGCGGTAGGGTTTAGGGAGCTGCAGTTCGAAATCAGACCTACCATGGCGTGATGAACCCTAGCGCTCCCAGTTACATGAACAGTAGGCTACTGGCCTATGTAACTATAAGGTATATAGGACCCAATTCCCATTACTTAGTGGGAGCTCTAGGGGAAGCCATGGTGCCTTAAACCCTAAACCCTACACCTACCATGGTGTGGTGAAGCTAAGCTTCATATTCGCCCCGCGAAGATACGACAGGTGCCTCTGGAGCATGGCTGCGTAAAGACTCAAGTGACTCGCAGGTCCTTAGTACGGTAAGGAAGAAGGGAATCTAGTAATTTATGGTTTAGAGTTTTGGGCTTACGGTTTAGGGAATAACCCAGAGGGTCCAAGTACCCAGTCCCCAGAAAAGGGATCAATAGGGGTATATAGGGATATATCGGGGTATATATTGGTTTTTTTGGTCTCAGTACCCAATAATTTGTTTATTTGGGATTTGGGTAATAGTAGTTCTGGGACAGGTTTGGGGTTAGCATAGGGTTCAGGTCTTAGAGTTAGTAGGGAATAAGGGAACATGTTAGCTTAGCGTTCAGGGCTTAGGGTTAGTAGGGAATAAGGGAATATATCTGTTCAGGGTTCAAGGCTTAGGGTAAGTCGGGGATAATGGAATACATCACATAGGGATTCTATTCCCTCATTCCATACTAAGAACCAAAAAGGTGGACATGTCTCAAAATGCTCCCTCCACAATCCGGAAGGGGGACTCCCCCCCCAAAATGTCAGCAACATACATTGCTTGAATCCCAAGGGGCGTCTTGGGGTTTAGGGGAGGAGCCCCCCGTGTAGAATTTCTGATGCGGATAGTGATCGAGATTGTTGCTTCTTTGGTAGTTTTGGGAGAAATCGGCTGGCAAGCAATTACCCAGGCATCTGAAGATTATTGATTATCGCGAGCCCTGTCTCGGTAAGGCTTCGCACATTCAAGAGCTTGAGTGCCGCCTTGAACACAAGCAGCACTTCGAAATATTGAAAACGCAGACGCTCAAGCATCCGCGCATGTAAGCAGCTGCACTTGTGTGGCGCAGGGCCCATCCACTTGCTGTAAACACCCCTTTTTGGTCACCGCTTTTGGTTGCGCGCCGGTCGGCCGCTTGCCGACCGGTCGCGCGTTGCAGGGTACCTCATTAGTTGCAGGTTGCAAGTTGCGTGCCGGTTGCTATACTACCTTCGGTTACATCCCCAAACCTCCCTCTCCGTCCCACCACCCCCCTGTCCCCCAAAAACCTGCCCCTTCCAACTACCTGCAGGCCTCAGCCCAAAGGGCCTCCCCACAAGAGCTCCCAGCTACAGTCGACCACATCCCATCCCTCCCCGGCAAGGCTGTTCAGACCCCCCCCAGCCCCCCCAACCAGATCCTTCTCCCCAGCCCGGATCCCAACGTTTGGAAACGACCTCTGCGTAGACGGCATGTTATGCAGAAGTGGGGCCGACGTTTGCATAAATTCTGCATGGAGCGCACTTTACGCAGATTTGGGTGCTCAAGCCCGCTTTAAGGCCAACTTCTGCATACAATCTGCACAACTTCCGCATCACTTCCACACAGCAGAAGTTTTGCATAACGTGAATATATGCAGAAGTCTATGCAGAAGTTCGATGGACGATTAGACTAAGCTACTGCATGCAAAGTCTTTATGCAGAAGTTGCCGTTCTGCCTAAGTTGCAATAATTAGGGGCGGGGTCTATGCAGAAGTTATGCGGAAGTTATGCAGATTTTATGTCGAAAGTCGCCTTCATGCAGCCTTGAGCGCCCAATTTTGCATACAGTGCATTCTATGCAGAAGATATGCAGAAAGCATCCACATTTCTGAATAAAATGCCGCCTATGCAGAAATTATGCAGAAGTTGGTGGCCGGCAAGTGGGCAGGAGGTAGGTCTCCGCAAGCCTCCCAAACCGACAGCCCGCAGTTCGCCCAGCCAAGACCCCAGAGCCCAGACCCGCCCTCGCCTCTAACTGCCCAAAACCGCCTGCGCAAATCAGGAATTACATGAATCTAGAAGAATACAAGTTGTAGGGCTTCTAACTATACTTATCCTCACTTGGAGCAGGTATGAACTAGCTTCTAACCAGGGTGGCTTGTCTTGTAGGCTATGGCATATTTTGAGAACTCTTCAGCTGCTAGCAGGAGCCCCCAATCGTCTGCCGTCACCTTGTTTTGAGAGTTTAGTCTTTACCTACATGGACTCACCGCGGCCCTAGAAAGGTAGAAATTCAAAAAAATGGATACAACACCCTTTCCTAGACCGCTACGTAGGGGAATGTCGGTTGATTTCTCTAGGTAGGGCCTTGTGGTTGAGGCACCTGTTGAGGCCGTGCATGTGAAAAGCGTTAATGGCGTGCGGATGTTCAGGAGACCAGATTTTGAGGGTCCAAGTATCGGTTCCATGGGCCTTTCTGTGCTGAAAAGCCACTTCATACGGACCATGAATGCTCTCTTTATGTTGAATATGTTTTTGGGGTTGTTTAGGGGAAGCCTTATCTGCTTCGGTCTCAATTGCGCTAGAAAAGGCTTTATATTGCGGAGATAGCCCAAACATTCGTCGGGCATTCGGGGGGGAACCCCCAATTCCTTTTTCCAAACGCGCACTTCTTACGCTTTTCAGGGCTGGGGGTGCAATAAAGACCGCCCAAATATGAGCTTTCCCCGAAAACGTATGTCCAATAAAGGTGTTGCACGTTAGTACGAAGACATTTTCGAGAATGCGAACAATGTTGGTACCTGACTTCCCTATATAAGCGCTAGCGGATGCGATACTTCATGACCCTATTCGAGTAGATGATTGTGGCTTAGTAGGTCTAACACATAGTTTCTAGTGACATTTTTCCGAAAACGGAGAATTAACTGGGCAAAAAATGCAATATGTATTTCACAATACTTTCTTATCTGAGGCCTTATAGGCCTTCTGTACGACAGAGGCCTAGGGAAGTACCAACAGCAATTGCGTATCTGGACCCTCAGGCTGGATTCTCAAGCCGCGTGAGTCATGCTCAGCCCAGGCGGAGAAAAAAAAACTAGGGCTTAGGGTTCAGGGTTTAGGGTTCAGGGTTTAGGGCCTCAAGCCAGTGAACCTCAAAGGGAGGGTGGGGGCGGGGGGCAGATTTTCACGCTGGCCCTTACACCCAGACATCTAACCAAAATCCTAAACCCTAAATCCTACACCTAAATCCTATAAATCCTAAACCCTAACCCCCCTAAAGGGAT